AGAGGAGCCAGGGGGAACCTTGGGGTGGTGCTGAAGGCAAGAGGCCAGGCTGCAAATCAATTGCTCAACACGGTCGTGACCCTTCCGGCGCCGAAACACCAGCAATTTCGATTTTCCCTCCTCCTCTCATTTGCACTTTCATCCCACCCACAGGAACTTGCCCACTGGAAATAGGGGAATGTTAAAGGAAATAGGAGAATAAACTGTCCTACCCCAAATCTTCCTGCTCCCCAAATCTTTCTGCACACCCCCACACCCAACCAATGCTCCCTCCAAGGCTCTCAGTGGGTCTGTCAATGAGGAAAACTCAACACTTTATTTGGCTTTTTAATCTAATAATTCCCTGGGCAGGGCTGTGGGTTGGGAGAAAGGAGCTGTTAGAGGAGCCATGGGGAATGTCAAGTGGTGCTGAAGGCAACAGACCAGGCTGAAAATCAGTTTCTGAACACAGACATGACCCTTCCAGCACCAAAACACCAGAAGTTTGATTTTACCTCCTACTCCTGTTTGCACTCTTATTCCACTCATAGGATTTTTCCCATTGGCAACAAGGGAATGTTAAGGGAAATATTAGAATAAACTGCCCTATCCCAAATCTTCCTGCTCCTCAAAATCTTCCTGCACCACCTCACACCCAACCACCACTCCCTTCAAGGCCATCAATGGGTTCAGAAGAGCAATTAGAGAGACTTAAAAATTTGTTTCTCTTTTTAATCTAATAATTCCTTGGACAGAGCTGTAGGCTGGGAGAAAGGAGCTGTTAGAGGAGTCATGGGGAAGGTTGGGTGGTGCTGAAAGCAGGAGAAGGAAGCTGTTAAAGGAGCCATGGAGAAGGTTGAGTGGTGTTGAAGGCCAGAGACCAGGCTGAACATCAACACAGACATGACCCTTCTGGCACCAAGACACCAAAAATTTGATTTGCTCTCCTACTGTCATTTGCACTTTTATCCCACCTGTAGGAATTTTCCCATTGGCAATCAGGGAATGTTAAGGAAAACACTGTCTTACCCCAAATCTTCCTGCTCCCCAAATCTTCCTGCACCACCTCAGGCCCCATCAATAGTCTTTATCCAGCTATCAGTAGGTCCAGAAATGCAATTTCTGTTACTTAGGAAGACCCGAAACTTTATTTGGTTTTTTAAGCTAATAATTCTCCAAAGAAGCCTGCCCTTGAATTTTGCCATGAACTTCACACTTCAGATTATTTACTTTGGCCACCACCAAGTCTCATGTTTCTCCTCCCTAAACTGGTGATGAGGCCCATTTTTTAGTCTCAGATGTTTAAACTGAATTACTTGACACAAGTACTTTCCCTTCCTCCATGGATTTTCCGTGCTGAGCCCAGAATTTTCTCAGGAAACCTCTTCAACTCCCAAAACTGTGTTTTCCTTTTGGAGAACCATCTGGACCGGTTGTGTCAGGCTGCTCTGCACCTCTTCAAGGTACCAGCTGCAACTACATCATCCCTCCTCCTTTTTTTTGTTGTTAAACCCAACAAAAATAATAATGTCTTGTTTATTCCAAGATCAATCACGGAGCTGCCACTGGCACAAGAAACATGTGAGAACCCTCTGCTCCTTCCAATGACCATCATTTCCAAACTCAAAGAGGTGCCATCACCTCAGCAAGGGAATAATCACAACACTTCCAAGCCAGGCTCTGTTTTGAAGGCTTTGGGTAAATCTTGGCTCAAATACGCAGTCCTGGACATGGATGATGGCTGCTCTGAAACATGGGAATGCCCACGGGGTGGGAATATTATAGATGGCCTCTCCCATCTGCAGCTTGGGCGCCGCTGTTTCAGTCTCCCCAGGGAGCAACTGAGACCTGGCAAATCCCGAGCTCCACCAAGTGACCTCCATTTAAACCTAAGAAAATAATCAGGCGTAAAAGCAAACAAATCCCCTTTTATAATGGCTCAAAAATAGGTGGGTTCAGCCGCCGAGCAGACTGGATTTGTCTGTGGGCTGCTGTGCCAGAAAACCCCTTGGCCAAGAGACCGCCAGCACCGTTGTCCCTCACACAATGGCATTGTCCCCACACGGTGACATTGTGCCTCACACAATGGCATTGTGCCCACATGGTGACGTTGTCCCTCACACAGTAGGATTGTTCTCACATGATGATGTCGTCCCTCACACAATGGCATTGTCCCCACACGGTGACATTGTGCCTCACACAGTGGGGTTGTCCCCACACAATGACACTGTGCCTCACATCGTGGGACTGTCCTCACACAATGACACCGTGCTCCATACAGTGGGATTGTCCCCACACGGTGACATTGTGCCTCACACAATGGGATTGTCCCTCACACAATGTCATTGCCCCTCTCACAATGACATTTTCCCTCACACAATGTCATTGTCCCTCTCACAATGACATTTTCCCTCACAAAATGATGTTGTCCCTCACACAGTGACATTGCTCACACAATGGCACTGTCCTCACAAAATGACACTGTCGAGGGACATTGTCCCCCACACAATGCCATTGTCCCCTGACAATGACATCACTTACACAACAACATTGTCCCTCACAGCATGACATTGTCCTTACATAGACACTGTCCTCACACAACGACATTGTCCCTCACACAGTGACATTATCTCTCACACAGATGTTGTCCCTCACACAACAACATTGTCCCTTAACCAGCGACTTGTCCCTTAACCAACGACATTGTCTCTCACACAATATCACTGTCCCTCACACAACAACATTGTGCTCTCACATTGTGCCTCACATGACAACATTGTCCCTCACACAATGCCATTGCCCTCACACGATGATGTTGTCCCTCACTCAGTGATGTTGTCCCTCACACGATGACGTTGTCCCTCACACAATGATGTCCCTCACACAATGATGTCCCTCACACAATGATATTGTGCTCTCCCACTGTCCCTTACACAATGTCCCTCTCACGATGATATTTTCCCTCACACAACAATATTGTTCCTTACATAACGATGTTGGCCCTTACACAACAATGTTTTCCATCTCACAGTGATATTGTCCCTCATACAGTGCCATTGTCCCTCTCACAGTGACATCCCTTCACACAATGACATGGTTCTCACACCACAGAATTATCCCTCACGCAGTGCCATTGTCCCTCACACAACATTGTCCCTCAGTCAGCGATGTTCTCTCTCAACCAACGATGTTGTCCCTCTCATGATGACATTTCCCCTCACACAATGTTGTCCTCACACAGTGATGTTGTCCCTCACACAACAATGTTCTCCTCACACAACCTTGTCCATCTCAGCAAACACCTCTTCAGCTTCCAGTTCCCAATGATCCCCCGCCCTTACACCCACCAGCAGCAGAACTTTCTGGGTCTTTCTCAATACAGTAAACACTTGAGTGTCCCAAATGGTTGGCTTTCCCCCTTTCCTTCTCCTGAGAAATTCTTCCCCAAGACTCAAGGGTGCAACCAGGTTGGACCCCAAGGACTCACATGTGTTGGAGGAGACGGATTTCCCGATGTCGGCCAAGGACCGGTGGATTGGCTTCTTGGTTTGGTGGCGGTGCTTTCTCAGAAGCACATAGCTTATCTTCTCCCTCAGCTCTGGCTTGAGCAGACCATCCTCAATCTGCTTCTCAATGACATCATCTGCAAGGGAGGCCCACGGGTTACCCCACTGCAACCCCCCCAGAGTGCTCAGGACAACAATTCTTGAAGCAAATCGGTGGCTCTCAACTCCTGTCTTTGCTTATTCCCACATAACTTGGTTTATGGAGCAGTAAATATATTTAAATCCACTCCCAGCACTTTGGGACACGGGTGAAAGGTGGTTTGGAATGGACTTCCACCAGCTCCTACCTATAATTTGGGGCAAGGAGTAGCCATCCAGGTCCAGGAGCACCGTTCCCGTCTGGAGACACGTCCGCAGCTCGAACAGGCTGTGCAAGGACAACGTGGACACGTGGGGTTTGCTCCATCTCTCCCCACCTTCCTCCACCTTCTCTTCAAACTTGATCCACCTGGAACGAGAGTGCGATGGGCACAGAACGGGAGAGGTGGGTGAAGGGAATAAGAGAATGGATTTTTCCGTGGAGTTTCGTTTCTGCAGGTGGATTTGCAAGCCTGGATTAATCCATTCCACAACATTTTTGCTTCTTGTTCAGGATGGGAATGGAGAAATTCCATAACATCATAACTCAAAGTGCTGCTTCCATGATTGCAGAATGGGGACGAACCTCTCAGCCCCACCAGTGAACTCAATCCCTCAGATTTCCCCCTCTTCAAATTGCTCCTGTGAGATCTGGGAGGTTTTCCCACAGAGATGACCTTGCCTTAGCCAGGACCTGCACCTCCATGGACCAGCCATGCACCCGGGAGAGCAAACACCAGCGCATTCCCAAGGTTTTTTAATTCCTTAGCAACGCTCTGACCTCAACCTGGGCCCTTCATTCCCATGGTGGGAGACGAGAGGGTTTGCAAACCCTTGAAATCAACCACTGGAAATCAGCCCTTCCACCTCTGTTCCTTTATTTTACAAACCAAAGGCTTCAGAGCAAATCTGGGAATGGTGGCTGATTTCTCCCAACTCCCTGGGGACAGGGCTCAGGCTCCTGGAAGGGCAGCTCTTGGCGTGACATCGATTTGGGGAAGAAAGCTGCTTTTCCTTTCCAGGAGACTTCCAGGATTAGCCTTCACGGAGCTTAACCTTACAAATTTGAACTGGTACAACTGGGATTTTGGCTCCTGCTGCGCCAGAGGGCACAGACAGAGAGGATGTGGGAGGAGAAAAGTTTTGGGAAATAGCTGCTGGCTCAGGAACGCTGCAGGAGAAGGGTGGGGAGAGCCCTGGGTTAGATCAGCTGCATCAAAATGCTGCTCCAAAGACAAAATACCAAGTGTTATTCAGGATGGGGATGGAGAAATCCAATAATACCACCACCTAAAGTGCTGATTCCACAATTGTGAAGTGAAGGCAAACCTCTCAGCCCCACCAGTGAACTCAGCCCCTCAGACTTCCCTCTCCTCAAATCGCTCTGGGGAGGCTTGGGAGGTTTCCTAAACTCCCAAAATACTACCTGGGAATGCCAGGAATGGTCTGTGTCAGGGACAAAACCCCAAATATTCCCAGAATTATAATATTTAAGCCTAGTTCTCGTCGTTCCAAGGCTTCCCCTCCCAATTCTTTGGAGAAACCCTTTCTCCAGCCCTTGCAACGACGCTGCTTTGATGGGGAGGCAGTTCAAGCTTCCCGCCGTGGCACCCGTGGAGCCCAAAGCCGATTAGGTCACTTTTTCTTTCTTTTTTGCCCCGTTTTCCTGAGGAAAGTGGGTCATTAGGGAGCAGACAGGGTGGCAGCTCAGGTCGGAGTGCAGGACTCAGGGCACGTTTCCAGCGGCGCCATTTTCCCAGGATCAACGTCCCGTGACACTTTCGCCAAGGCTACAGCAAAATCCCATCTCCCTGCTGGGCTCAGGGCCTGGATTGCCAGGGTTTTTTTCCATTTATTGTGGATTTAGACCTGCTCCCACCTGCTGTTCCCACCGTGGAGCTGCTCTCCCGTGGTTAAAGAAGTTCCTCGTCGGGGAGCGGAAATCGGGATTTGAGAAACCTCCACCCTCCCAGGAGGAATTTGGAAACCTCCATCTCAATCCCTCCCCAATGAAAATCCCGATGAGTACACTGATTTTTTGCCTTCCAAGTTTTTTTGGAGTAGGGAAGGATGGGTAGATAAACAAACCTCCCTCCTCCCAGAAGGAATGTGGAAACCTCCATCTCCAGACCTTCCTGATGAAAATCCCAATGAAAATGTCGATTTTTTTTGCCCTCCAAGCTTTTTTGGGTAGTGGGGAAACAAAAACCTCCATCCTCCCAGGAGGAATTTGGAAACCTCCATCCTCAGCTCTCCCTCATAAAAATCCCAATGAAAATGTTGATTTTTTTTCCCTTCCAAACTTTTTTGGGAGTGGGGAAGGATGGATAGATACAGAAACCTCCATCCTCCCAGCTGGAACTTAGAAACCTCCATCCCAATCCCTCCTTGACGAAAATCCCCCAAAAAACATTGATTTTTTGCCCTCCGAGCTTTTCTTGGGAGTGGGGAAGGATGGGTTATAAAGAACCCTCTCTCCTTCCAGAAGGAATTTGGAAACCTCCATCTCCAGACCTTCTTCATGAAAATCCCAATGAAAATGTCGATTTTTTTTGCCCTCCAAGCTTTTTTGGGTAGTGGGGATACAAAAACCTTCTTCCTCCCAGGAGGAATTTGGAAACCTCCATCTCAATCCCTCCCTAAAGAAAATCCAAAAAAAAAACCCCATTGATTTTTTGCCTTTGAAGCTTTTTTGAGGGGTGGGGAAGGATGGGTAGATACAGAAATCTCCATCCTCCAAGGAGGAACTTGGAAACCTCCATCTCCAGACCTTCCTGATGAAAATCTCAATGAAAATCCCAATGAATATGTTGATTTTTTACCCTCCAATCTTTTTTTTTTGGGGAGCAAGGATACAAAAACCTCCATCCTCCCAGCAGAAACTTGGAAACCTCCATCTCAATATCTCCTTGATGAAAATCCCCCCAAAACCATTGATTTTTTTGCCTTCCAAGCTTTTTTGGGAGTGGAGAAGGATGGGGAGATACAGACCTATGGAAAAATAAGGGAGAAATTAAGGATTTTACCAGAAGCATCCCCCACACTGTAGAGTTTGAGCAGGGATGGCAACCAGGAGGATGCTTGTGAGCTTCCCAAATTTTTGGTGATGCAAATAACCAGTCCTGGAGGGAGGATGAGCATCCACGGGGCCTGATCCTGATCCCTCCCAATCCCCAGGGTGAAATTTCACACCCAAACTCGGAAATCCCACATGTGCTGCTGAAAGTAAAGGGTTGGGATCCCGTCAGCACCCCTGATTCCCTTCCTAAAGCTCCCCCCAAAAAGCCTCAACCCCACTGGCCTTTAAAAAACTGAGGTTAGGAAGAGAAAATCCCACTTGGATTTGAGATTATTCCCTTGGGTAAACTCCTGATTCAGTAAAGGAAATTCCACTTGCAACTCCTCCAATAATTTTATTAAAGATGGAGCAGGTGGAGTTTTATTATTATTGATGGAGGGTGGGAAGAGTTTCACTCTTGGCCCAGGCAGAAAAAGGGGGGGGCAGGGGGAACCTGGGAAAATGTTCTTTTTGTCCTCTGTTCCCATTTCCCAGATCTAATTCTCCCTTTTCCCAGCATCTTATCCTCCTTTTTTACCCTCCCAGCCCTTTCTGCAGGACTTTGGTCACTGGGAATGGGAAAAACTCCAGCTCTGGGGTTGATCCTGAGGAGAAGCAGGACAAGACGGGAATTCTTGTAAAATCCCCCAAAATGCCACGTTCTCTGCATTTCCCCAATTCAGGAATGTCTTTTTGAACTGATGTTCATTCCCTGCTCCTGTTTCCACCCGGGCATGCTTAAGGAGGGGATTTTTTTCCCGATTTTTTTCAACCCCAAAGCATCTTCCCACCTCACCTGGCCGATTCCTTCCACTCCATCTCCTCCCCGTCGTGCTGCAGGGTGTCCATCTCCGTGAAAAGGGTGGGATTGGGGGGCTCATCATCCTCCCCCAGGATGTAGCGGAGACGTTCGGCAGCCGGAGACACTGAGGGGGGAAAAGAGGTTTAACATCCACGGAAGACGAGGTGATGGTGAACCATGGATTCATCCCTTAAAATTCCTCGAAAAGTGGGAAGAGGAAAAAAAAAGCTGAAAAAAAA